GATTTTTAAAAACTTTTCTGTCAAGCGTGTTAAACAGTAAAAATAAAAAAATATTACGTATTTTAGCTTGGTATTTTAAAGGTAAACCTGGTATGCTTATGTACACAGCACCGGATTTTGATAATCCTTTATGGGTTCCCAATGGATTATTATTTTCGTAATCATCAAAATATAATATCATTGGAAAAACAATTTTATCTCCAAACGTTCGCACGCGCTCTTTCCAAAAGTCTCCTTGAACAAAATTCGTTATTATTTTATCGTTAGATTGCATATGCTGTAAATACTCCATAGTTTCTTTAAATACTAGTGGTAATTCAAAAAAAAGCTTTAGTACATATCTCAGTGGAATGAATTGTACGTTTACAGGAATATGAACCAGCATTTGTACATTTGCAACTTTTCTGTATTCGAGCCTTTCGCCTACTGGAATGCTAATTGGCGCAATATATGTACGCAATTTTTTATAATGAAAAAACCTCTTATGTTCAGTATCTACGATGTCTAAACAATTAGAGAAGTCACCTATTATTTTACTAATATTTTCTATCTTATTTGTATTTGCCTCAATCAATTCATTTCTAATTTCTATTTGTAAAAGCTTTGTAATATTGCATAAAAATTTTTTTGTCATGAGTATCATCTTATTGACATGTTTTCTTGGTAGTTTTTTGAAAGATGAAAGATTAGCGCTAAATTCAACAGCGATGTCATCGAGGAGTTTTACGTATAGAGGTGGCGATTTGTCGCGTTGATCAATGTACGGCTCTTCACAGGAATCGTACAAAACTGATTCGTCTGAATCACTCTCTTCTAAATCCACATAAGGATTTTCTATATCAGTATTTTCAATGTGAAGTCTATCGATTTCAAAATGCTCTGGTGCTAAATGAACTATTGGAGGTACAATATTAGTAATAACTTCTTTGTGCTTATTATAAACATGCTTTTTAAAACAGTTAATAGATGAGTATGATCTTTTACAACCTTGCACGAAACAACGCAAGTTACTCGAATCGGCATGGTCTTGCGTAATATGTTTAAATAAAGCCTTATAACTATCGACAGGAACCTCGCAAATCGAACAAGCAACGGTATCCATCGTAACAGTCAACGACGAAATGTCAAAATAACAAAATAAAATATAAAACTACTCCGCTTCCGCATCTGCTTCCGTTTGCTTAATATACCTAATATGGCCTATCAGCGCATTGCCATCCACGGTAACTTCGTCTCCAGGAAGATCAACATCTAGTAGAATTTTGTGCAAAAAAGTCCAAATAGTTTTGGTGTATTTGGGATAGTTGCAGTCTAGGGTAAAAAAAATCTTCAATGATAGCTCAATAGCTTCAAGTATTGCCCCAATATCAAATATCTGTTCGTTGACGATCACATGATATCCTTCGATCCGATTTACCGAGCCTACTGCTATAATAATTGGTTGGAAGGTCTCGTTGTCTTCTTGATATCTTGCTTTCAGTTCCCGAACTCTTGGCTCAATATCTTCTGCAGACTAATAAAAAAATTATTTTAATGAGATATTTTCAACGCGAGTTTTTGTTTTCATATGAAATTTTACTTCAACGCGGAGTATAAATGATTCTCGGCGTTCTTGAATAGACAGCTTTGTTGGCGCATCTCGACAATCATTCTCGTCACGCTTCCTCTTCCCGCTTCTTTTTGGTTTGATGAGATAGCACAGCAGATAAAAGAGTAAAAAATTTTCTTTTTCTGAAAAAAATTTAAAAAATTATATTGAATATACAAGTAAATCATATATTTATTCAAATCAAATAAACTCACCACTTGACAGATCACCAGAAGACAAAAGACCAAGCAATATAGAATCTTGAGGATTCGTAATTTTGCATTCTTGCAGTGATGAAATCAGTGCTACTTTTATTTTTTTCCATTGATTTTCATTGACAAAATAGCGATCACGATACAACTGCTCAAAATCAAGGTGAAACTGAAATAATAAATTAAAATAGAAATAACTAAACTACGTGAATAACCTAAAATAACAACGAAATAATCATACCAATTCTGTAGCTTCTTGATTTCTTAGACAAGGAAAAGTTTCCATATACTCAAAAACAGACATATGAAACTCAGTCAGCATACGCCTTCTCATTCGATAACTATAAATCCACTTTTCTACCAGCTCGTTTCTGGGATCCAGGTGAACTTTCAGCCACTGAATATATTCATTTTCTAAAAAAGAAAAAGGAAAAAAAACCATAACATTTAAATACGTCATTTTAATGAACTTGAATAATAATTACACCTACCATCAATTTCAACAGCTAGTTCATCGACATTCATCTCATTTATAGGTCTATAAATTGGATTTCCACGAAGCAGTAAATCTTCTCGTAGTTTTTTCTTGGTGTAGTTATAATGGTTCCACAATTTACCTGATGCAAAGATGCTGATTTTGTTTAGACCATTTTTTGTACACTCGTATGCTTTGAAATAGGACACAGCTGTTTCGTCAACGAAAATGTGTGCTATCTCACTCGCTAGTAACTCGAACCTAGTCCTTGTAATGCTGGAGTATATGAAATATTATTAGAATCTTCAAACTTCATATAAGTACGTACATCTATTTCACAAAAAACTCGACTCACACAAAGGTGTCCAATTGACTGTCTTCAATAACATCCTTTAATAGATGCTCTTTCTCTCGACCAATAACTAGCCGACTTAGTCTATTTCTTATTGTTTTCTTCAATGGCACTTTATTTTTCTTAGCCTTATCGTATTGTTTTAAGATAGCCTTTCCTTCAGATTTTTTTTTCATGTACGCCAATAGTCCCTAAAAAGAATAAAATTTGAATTGCGAAATTGAATTTGATTTAATGCTTCACAAAATAATTATAAATATCTTACAGTGCTAACGTAATTTTCACCATGTGGCTGAGCCACAGGAAACTCATTGGTTACATCTCGCAAACCTCTCGCATTAGCATTACCTTGTACTGTCACTTGGTCATTGCCCGCATCAGCATCTTGTTGATGATTCACTGGCTGCTCGACATTGAAAATCTCCGCATCAATAAGCTCTTCATCCACTTGCTGCTGTAAATATATGAGCATTGTACAAAAAATCAAATCACTCAACATTAGTTTTCAAACAAAAAGTATTAACAGCCTAGAAACTACAGAATACCTCAATATCTCCATCTGCCATAACTACTAGTAAATAATCAAACCCACTCCAAGAAATTAGCAATCCAAAAAGGTATCACACGAAAGATATGTTGATCTGATAAAGGTAGATAGTATATGAAAAGGATGGAAATGAGGTTAGAAAAATATACATGCAAAGTACTGTGACAATAAATGATAATATGTTATGAATGTTGAATGCGTACTTCAATTCTTGATACGAACCACTATTTCACTATGCAAAAAACTAAAATCATATTGTACTTACGACTGTCAAGAGTTTTCTGCAACAAAGCCGGCAATCACATTAGCACATGACTCGCACTTGGATACACGAAACACGCTTCGGCGACGGGCTATCGGATTGAACATTGAACATAACTGATGCGACACTCGCGCCACGCTCTGGGAATCTTACGTACATACAAATTTTACTATATGACCATAGTAAAATGAGCTACAATATGTGGCTTTCTTTACTATGCACGTAATAAATTTTTCAATGATGAATTTTATTTGAATTTTTATTATAATTTTTTAGCAATTTTACCTATAAAATGTCAATTTTTATAAAATAACACAGCGAAAGATTCCTACTTGAGATGTAAAATTAGCTACATTTTATGGTTGAAATTTTGTTACGAATTATAGTAATTTCCACTATGTATTATAACAATTTTTATAAGCAACTTATAATAAAACTTATTAGAGTAATTGTAATGTTTGATATAATTATATTAAAACTCGCCAAACTGCAAGAATGTCACTCTTTTATAATATTTTTTAGTAATATTTGATAGAATTCTAATAAATCTTGTAAGGTCATTTCTCTCAGTGTATTATCAGCGCGAAGGTCATCTCGCGGTCGTGACTTCACACTTCTTTCAGCTCGCGTCGTATCTATGCAGTCCTCAATGCATCAACTTCTGCATTTAACGGGGACGACGAAGGGTTGCTTCGAGGAAATATCCCCGTCGCATTGGCGAATCATTGGCGAGGCAAAAGTGTCTCCCGCGCGAACGTCCGCTCTGCTAGCCCTTTGGGCTAGTGTAATGAGTAATAAACGTGAGCGCTCCGCTGCCATGTGCGGCATGTCTATTATACTTAGCCTAGCGTCGCAGGTCGTACGTTTACTACCTTCTTCGTTTATTGGGCGATGCTTAAAACCTTATACTTAACAGTAGTCCAATTCAGAATACTGCTTCAATATTGTATATACAGTAGATATTGGAAATATTTTTCTCTTTTCTCAGAAGTTAACTCTGGCGAACCAATTCTCTATTATACACAGCCTCTGCGTTGAACAGTCTGCAGGTTGACACATTAATAATGCGGCCAAATAAGCCATTTTTTATTGTTTTGTAGATAATTCAAAGACAAAATAAAAAGTATTTGACTTTTTTATAAAATTAACCCAAAAAATATACTAGCGAAAAACATTAAAACCGTATCTTTGTTAATTTATTAAACATGAAAGTAGCCAATCTCGTGTTAACTATATACGCTATCTTTATGAACTTGACAATCTTTTAATTCTCAAGATGAAAAAATAGAAGCAGCTGAAGCTATTTTGTCTTTTAATGAATAATATAATGTAACTCCGTACATTTCGTAACGTTCTGTAACCTCTGCTATACAAAAATTGTAATTATAAAAGAGCATACATAAAATTCGCCGCACAAACTATGTAATTGAATATTTGTTTATACTGATCCTTCATAAAACTAGGCCACTATTGCTTCAATCCCATAATCCAATAACCCAAATGACTTATAAACTTATAACAGTCATAAATAATTCATTAATGTTTATCAATTTTATTATTTTAGGACCTTTTACCGATTTTACAAGATGTGCAGGATTGTATATTGGATACTAGCGACGAGGAAGACTTCAATGACATGGCACCTGATGATAATGAAATGGTTGAAGGTAGATTTGCGAGATTAGACGAAATTATAAATAATGAAGAGTATAACGAGCCTCTAAACTTACTGATAGGTATTAGTCGAATAGAAATGATATTAACTGTCATGAAATATTGTAACAAATATCATGTACCAACTACAGGAATAGTAGATTTGTTTAAAATGCTAAATATGTTTGTCCATAAACAAGTTTTTCCAGAAAATCGTTATCAGCTCGACAAGCTATTCAATCCAGAAGAAGGTAGAGAGTATCACGCTGTATGTCCAACGTGTAAAGTGTACTTAGGAGTATTTAAAAAGGGACTACGTACAATGTTTTGCGAAGTGTGCGATGAAAATATTAATTTAAAAGATCCTTCGTTTAGAGATTATTTTGTAATGATTGATCCAGTTAGCGAAATCCAAAATCTTATTGAAGCAAATGAGGACTTCTACCTTGATATTATATCTCGTCGAAATAAAGAAAGAAATGTTTCTATGACAGATATTTATGATGGCCAACGATACAAACAATTTCTAGCATCGTTACCTGAGGACCGTAAAGAAAGTTATGTGACCGCCACGTTTAATAGCGATGGGTCGCCTACTTTTAAAAGTTCTAAATGTTCCGTTTGGCCAATACAAATTCTTATCAATGAACTTCCACAAAATATTCGATGTCAAAAAACTATTACTTGTGCGCTCTGGTTTGGACGGAATAAGCCAAATATGACGTATTTCCTACGTCCTTTTGTCGATAAAATGAATGAACTTTCAGAAAATGGAATATCATGCAAACTAAAAAATGGAACGAAAAATTTACATTTGTACGCATTGTGCTGTTGCGTCGACGCTGTTGCTCGTGCACCTATGCAGGGCATTATACAATTTAATGGCTACTTTGGGTGCAATTGGTGTTTGCACCCAGGTGTGTGTTCGTCATAATACTGGATATTCTGTTAAGTACACAATACTAGACGAACATCCTGAAAAACGAACCGCAAATACTACTTTTCAGCATATGCAAAGAGCAGTTGAAGCAAATGCTCCTATTTTTGGTGTAAAAAATGCTACTCCTTTGTTGCTTATGAATGGCTTTGACATAATTGGTGGTTTTGTTCCATGTCCAATGCACTGCGTCGATCTAGGAGTAGCTTAGCAATTTTGCAACTATTGGTTTGCCATATCTAATGAACCTTATTCGATCCCTAAAAGTAAAATAGAGGGTATTGATAAATTTATAGCAAACTTCAAAGTTCCCACACAACTAGAACGGTTATCACGTTGTTTAAGTGATCGAGCACATTGGAAAGCTGCTGAATGGTTAAACTGGATTCTATTTTATAGTCCGCCAATATTAAAATTATTATCAGAAGAATTTCCACGATTTGAAAAATATATGACTCATTGGTTTCTCTTAGTACAAGCGTATTATATATTATTACAAACCGAGATAACTGTCACAGATTTGCAAAGAGCAGATTTTCTGTTGAAAAAATTTGTTTTCGAGACAGAACTTCTTTACTCAAGCGATGCGATGTCTTTTAACGTACACCAACTGTTACATTTAGTACAGAGTGTTGCTGACTGGGGTCCGTTATATGTACATAGTGGCTACGTCTTCGAATCGGGTAACGGAAAAATTAAACAAACAATTTATGCTGCGAAAGGTGTCTTGAGTCAAGTGTGCCGTTATCTGTACTTTCAAGACAGTATTAGGATATTAGAAAAACATGTGGGACTTGAAAATGACTCACCATGTATAGAGTACCTTAAATACTTAGAGAATGGATTTATTACGAAAACGGTTAAATTTTCATTTCGATATTTTGGAAGAAGAGTAGTTAATCAACGAATTATGGATCTGTTCCAACTACCGAAAGGACAAGTAAGAGCTTATGAAAAAATGGTTAAAGATAGGTGCTTATTTAGGTCATCAGGAAAGTTTTTATTTAGATCAAATAATTCATATGCAGTTTTGAAAAATGGAGATTATGTGCGAATTGAGCAATTTCTCATCAATTTTGAAAATGGAAGAGAGTATACAACATATAGGAAGCTTCAAGTGGATAGTGATTATCTAATGAGTAATGATTTACGCTACATGAAATATGTCACAGGGACAAATTTAAATATTGATATGACAGAAACTAAAAATGTAGATAAATTATGTGTTTACACTAATACTAATATCGGTATTTACATTTCATCAGTTCCTAATATGTATTGGAAATAATAATTTAAATAATTGCAGCGTTTCACAATTTTGCACCAATTTTTTACCAACTAAACATGCACATATTTTAGAACTTACTTTATCAAAATACATTGTAAGTTTTGTACAAATAAAATATGAATTTGTTTGAAAAACCACAAAACAGAATATTCCATGGAATAATATTGATCTGTTTTTTATTTTTAATAATGAACTGAAAACCTCTTCATACTTTATGATACATGAAATGAATCTTTAAAAAACAAAAAATCTGATCGGATATAAATAATTATCTTTGACTTGATAAAATATTGACATGTTGACATGTATTACAAATAAAATTTAGCGAAATATATGTATATTTCGAAATAATTCACCTGTATTTCAGCTCAAATATCTGCATTGACATACTCGCCTGAATTTAAGCAAAAAAATCTATGAAAATAGGTGGATTTGCCGATGAATCCACCTGCATTTATGCTAAAATCCACATGGATTGACCAGAAAATTCACCTGGATTTATTCTGAAATTCACCTGGGTTTATTAAAAATCCACCTGGATTTATTCTGAAATCCACATGAATCGACTGCAAAATTAACCTGGATTTATGCTGAAATCCACATGGATTGACCGGAAAATCCATCTGGATTCGTTGACGAATCCACCTTGGTTTTCTATTAATTCACCTGGATTTATGCTGAAATCCACATGGATTGATCAGAAAATCCACCTGGGTTTATTCTGAAATCCACCTGAAATTATGTTAAAATCCACCTGGATTTATTCTGAAATCCACCTGGATTTATGCTGAAATCCACATGGATTGACCGGAAAATCCATCTGGATTTATGATGAAATCCATATGGATCGACCGAAAAAAACACCTGGATTTATTCTGAAATCCACCTGGATTTATTCTGAAATCCACCTGGATTTATTCTGAAATCCACCTGGATTTATTCTGAAATCCACCTGGATTTATTCTGAAATCCACCTGAAATTATGTTAAAATCCACCTGGATTTATGCTGAAATCCACATGGATTGACCGGAAAATCCATCTGGATTTATGATGAAATCCACATGGATCGACTGAAAAAACCACCTGGATTTTGGTTAAAATCCACCTGGAATCTACATGGATATCCATCATGGATATCCATATCAAATCCATATGGAATCCACATCAATCCACATGGATATACAGCTGGATATCCATGTGGATATCCATCTTGGATTTCCAGCTGGATTTTTTCAACAGGGTTCAGATTTTTATCATTATATATAAATACTTTTCTTACAGACTTTTTTTTATCTAAATCCGAAAACAAAAGAATATATTCTAACACTTATTCTAATTGTGCTTTATTCGTTTAACAGGTAGACTAGCAGTTTCATCGATATTGTCGCATTCGTTATCACCTAATTCTTCACAAACATCAATTTCATCGTGTGTAGGGATATTATATATAATTTCTTCTTGTGATTCATCAGTCACTTCAATAGATTCAACAGTCACCTCTTACTCGTCTGTTACGTTTTCATTTTCTTTAATTTTTTTTAATTGCTCATCATGAGTGATATTTCTTTTTGTACTTTCAAATCTTTCTAATTGTAAAATTCGCGCTAATGATATATGCGACATAATAATATTCCTTTAGCAATTTGAATTATAAATTCAAACTCGCATTTTTCTTGAAGTTTATACCTGAGAGTAGGTAAATAAGGACTCTCTTCAATATTTTCACAATTATTTAAAATATCATTTAAACAATATTATGTGATGGCACGATTTTTATAAAACTACATGTTTTGATGAAATTATTTACCCCTTCCACTTTTACAGTGCACGTATCGATATCATTCATAGACGTCTTGCACAGGAGACAGATGTGTCCCCAGGTATCTTAAGATCGTACCTGTTATTGATTCTCTTCAATAATCGGTTAACTTCAAGAAGAAAAGATGATGTTTTCTTTTGTTGATTATCAATTATTTTTATATACTTTTCAGACTTATCATTGCAAGACAAAGTTATGGCTGAAATACCTGTAGATCAAGATACTTAGGCACACACCTGTTTCCTGTGCAAGACGTCTATGAATGATACCGACACGTGCGCTGTAAAAGCCGAATCTAAGATTCAAAAGAAACAATTAGGCAATATATGAAGATCTTATTCTCAACTCGTAAGTATTTTAATTGTAATAAACAATGAGTTTTTTGTTAATAACTTTTGACCTAATAAATATTTTTCAGCATTTAAGATTTCATTTTGTAGATATTAAAAAAACGAACAAAAGTATATTAAGTATTTTTTCCTAACAACGGCATATAAAACGATCTCCGCGAAAAAAAGATAACTTCTGCCATTTGTTTAACCAGCTATTAGACAATTTTCCGCCATTTTTGACGAGGGTAGAAACCAATCATCCTAATTTTTACTCACTTTTTTATCTGCTACAAAAAAAATGAGCTTGCCGGCACTCCAAGTCGCGTAAATCCTTTTTTCCTGGACTAATTGCATAATATAGTATTTTAAAACGTTTTTAAACTTATTTTTTTAATATCCAAAGTTTACTAATGTTTGTAAGACGTTTTGAAAACGTTTTAAAAATGATTTCTTTAATAACATTTTTGCAGTCTGTATATATCGTAAATATATATAATTCAGATTTTCGATAATGTTTGTATTTTTTTATCCAAGGGGAAACATTCAAAAAGGCACCTATGATGATGGTAGTGTGGGTAGTGTTGGTTAACCCGAATACTCGTATCATTGACCGGGTCTATTATAATTAGATAGATCAGGTTTTCATCTTAACGTAATCTAATTACTACCTGAACGATACTTGTAGAAAAGGTATTAACTACTGTAAAAATTTATAGAAATAAAACGACCATAATTTACAAGAAGTAAGTATGTAAGCATTAAGTACGTTACCAAAACGTTACAAGAAAAAAAACGTATATCTTTTGGTGTAATGTGTAATAAAGTTAGTCCTAGAACAAAATCAAACGATTTTTGGAAAATAATTAATATTTTTAATAATAGTTTCAAAGAAAAGGATATGTACTCAGGTAACTTAAAAATAGAACAAAATATGTATAATTTTATTGATCGAATTAAGTGCTACAAAAAATATTTCTTCTAATGCCTTAAATGATTTGGAAAATTGGAATGAGAATGACAATAAATGCGCTGATTTTTATTTCTTGGGTAGTTCCTTTTCGTTTGATAAACTTAAGTATGTTCTTAACAAAATAAATCTTAAATCTGTACCGGAATTACATAAAATTGATTATGAGAGTATTGTAAATTTTCCCGAATTCTATAAAAGAATTTTGCTTATATATATAACGAAATTTTCTTCTGCCAAGCTTTTTCAAAAGATTGGAATAATTGCTTATATTAATTTTCATTCCAAAAGGAAACTTAAATAAAGTGAGACCTGTTTTTTTAGCTTCATATTTATTAAAAATTATAGAGAAACTAATTAAGGAAAGAATTCAGTGGTGGGCGGAAAAACACAATCTACTTTCACCTACTCAATTTGGATTTTGGAAGAATAAATCATGCATTGACAATTTAAGTATCTTAACTATAGATACATAACGAAATTTTTTTACTAAAAACTTTGTTTCAGCATTATTGTTAGATGTTAAAGGCGCGTATAACGAAGTTATCCCAGATATACTAATTGATGACCTAAAGCTTGGTTTGCCCAACAAAAATCATTGTTTTTATAAAAAACATAATCTTTGAAAGAAATGTTACCTTTTGTATATATACTAAAATTATTGATAAACCAGTGAACAAAGGTCTACCTCAAGGCAGTGTACTAAGCCTCTTATTGTATGCTTATATATAAAAAAAATTAGTTAGATTCTAGATAAAAGGCTGCCAGTATTGGAATTCGTTGACGGTATTGTGATTTACATCAAAGATAAAAATAGTTGTTCAAACCAAATACAAATTTCAAAAGAACAATGTCGAATGTTGAAAATTTAAAAAAAAAATAGAGGACTCGAAATAGTGCCCGATAAATGTGTGTTAATGGTCTTTAATAATTTGGCTAAGCGTATTAACAGAAATATTTCAATATAAGTTAGCAATTTCAATATTAAACCAGCGGATAGAATTAAATTCCTTAGAATTATTTTTAATCGTCGACTCGATTGGCGTAATCATATTAAGAATCTAGCGATTATATTCAAGTTAAGTATAAGAATTCTGTTTTCTACGCTCAACGTGATGGGGTGCTGACCTGAGATCATTGCTTTTATTATCTATAGCTTTAGTAAGATCAAAGATAGAGTATGGGGAATTTATTACGTCTCCATGAGATACCAAATGTTTTAATTAGTCGTTATTATACTTATCAAGGAGACGGAGTTTCTATTGGAATGCTATACATATGTATGTATGTCTATGTAAATAAGAAATCTTAATTTTTATTTCTAACTGTTCTTCCATTTATTTTGTACCTTTTTTACATAAAATTATAAATTCATAATACATATTTAAGTACTTCAATTATTCGTCAATCTAACATTTAATGCAAAAAAATATCAACACTCACTGGAAATTACTCAATAGTGAGTACATATCGTTATTTTATTATTATATTTTATAATTTACAGTCAATCTTTACATAATAAATATAATATTAGATGTATAAGATGTACTCTTAACTTTGATATTACAAATATTCTTGACTACATCGATAATAGAGCGTTTGATTTTTAATAACAAAGAAATTTCATGCTTGGACTTTATAACTTTATAGTAACATTTTAATCAATTTTGTTCATTAAAAATGTATTTAAAAACACAAATTTGCAATATTTTATCTACGTAGAGTTTATATGTAAGTTAGCGAAATAAACCGACTTTTTTTACTTTTCCCATAAAATAACAAGGTTAAAATATATCTATTTCTCTTTGAAACGATTTATAGGAAAATAAATTTTTAAATTGTTGTGAAGAAGAATCTTGTGATTTTTTTAACAATTAGTAATATATAAAAAAAAATTAATATACATTTGCAATTGATAAATCTTTACAATAATGATTTCTGGAATTCCCAACCCTATATAGTGAGATTCTAATAATTTAATACAATTTAAAAAATTTATTCACGTTTTGTTTTGGAAGTATCAGTTTTAGATTCACTTGACATTGTATCTCTGTAATCAAATCTTTCTAGTAATGCTCGTAAAATACTTCCTGGTATTTTTTGATGTTCTTTAATTAAATCATAAAGTGCTGTAGCAATCTGTAAATAAAATTATATGAACATATTTAGTTAAGCTTCTAATACCTAAACTTTGTATCATTTTTGATAACACCTACTTTCGTCTGTAATTGTTCGGGAGTAAGATCTTCATCATATGGAATTGGCTTGCCAACATATGTTTTCAGTTTGACAGGAAAACCACCATAGATTGGAACAAATGGATATCTAGTTGCAGCATATAATCTCAACCACAATCTTCTTCCCCAAGTTACTGTCCGGAAAGCTTCTCTAACATTTTTTGTAAACATTGGAACTATTGACTTTATCAATAAAATATTATTGAAGTGGAAGTTTTTAATAATAATTATTTTTTTTATCGAAATGGCTATATGAATAATGATATTATCAACTAACCACTTTAGCATCTAGTGCTACTTTAGCAAATCCTAATCTTTTTTTCCACATAAGTTGATAATATGCATCTCCAAATTGAGCTTCATAAACACCACCAGGTGATATAGCAAGCATATTACCATCCTTCAGAATTGATGAGCAAGTTTGAATCGTTCCAGGTATAACTTTTAAAACATCAGAAATTATGGACCAGCCAGGAAATTTAAAGAGAAATCTATCAGCAACAGTGTGAATAAGTTTTGAATTGAATAGAAACACCTTAGATATAAAGTAGTAAAGATCTATGGGAATGGCTCCATGGTAATAAATAAATAGAACAGACTCATCTTTTGGAATGTTTTCTAAACCAACAACTTCATAACCTACGGAGAGAAAATATATCAATTTATAGTATTCTCAATTGTAATAGCCTATATTCAAAACAGCATGAGAAGCTAAACAGGAAGATGGAAAGCAAAATGAAAACTAACGGAGTTTTAAAAACTTCTTGATACATTTTGTTCATCTTCCTACCATGCCATATCCATCCATGTGCGTCCCAAACAGCAGCTACTACATTTCGTGATGCATTCCTCCAATCAGTCCCATATGCATTTCTCAGCCTATGCCTATGAAATTACAAATAAATTGCGTTCATTAATGAATAAACAATGAAATGGATGAGATGTTACAAAATAAGATACCTATGGAGTCGATAAACATATAAAATCAAGGCAGTGATATATAATAATAGAACAATCACCAGCGGAAGAAGAAATGTTATCAATAATGGCATTAAAAGCCATAATGTAACATTTAAATTGATATATTCAGCTAAAAAGTGAACAGAATTTTTTTTTATTAAAATTGTAGTTGGTAAAAAAAGAGAATATGTAAGAAAAAATTAAAACCAACCAATCATACTTTCTGTTGAATGCCACATACTTGAAATTAAAGACAGCATTATTCTGTCATTAAAAAAAAAGTCACAAAAAATTTAATGTCACTACAAAAAGTATAAAAAAATCTAGTTATTCCGAATAACTACTCGTTAGTGCATCGCATTTTTTACAGTTGTTGACGAATCATTATTCAAATCACTATACAATAGTGTCAGAGTAGCGATGAATGAACCGATCATATAAAGCGTCTATTTTAATATAGATACTTTCATCAATGTACTTGCTTTCGGTATCATGAATTTATATTTGAATGGAATGGTTATGTATATTTAGGTTATAAACAGAAAGTTAAATATGTATTTGATTTAAACCATTGGCAAATAGGAACTTTATAACGTATTTTTTAACGAAGAAATTAATTTCCGTATTTGAGAAAATAATCATGACAATAAAAATATTAAATTATTCGTCCTTTCAAAACTTCTCACCGAATCGACGTATTTCGCCATGTTTATTTTATATGTTTGAGTAATATGAAAAGTATCTAGATTATTTTTGAATTTTTGAATATTACAATTTACGTAGAGCTTGAGTCGTTCAATTATTAATAAAATAAAACATTTACATATACGCGTCTCGCGATATCTCAATTATTGATTATAAAACTGTTATAAAATATTAATAATTGAACTATAAGTTCATTTTTTGAATATAATTCCAAATGATACATGACGTTTATAACGAAACTTTTTATTTTACGTTGATTTTTCACATAAATTTCCACATTATTTCTATATAGACTTTTTCAATGGGTATAAATAAAAATAATATTATATATCTATCAATTTATAGTAACCCGGATACATAGTTTAAATATAGATTATAGTTTGAATATTATCTTTTTTTATATACTGTCAAAAATGACAAAATCACGACGTTATATAAAATTTACTAAAAATATATACGTAATGACAAGGATAAATAAAGTAACAGATTATTTATGCCGCAGGCCGCAACGGCGACTCTTAATTTAAATACATTAGTGTCAGCAAACAAGTGCAGATGCCCACGTGTATATAATGTGTTATGTGTTTATGTGTGTGTGTATGCATGTATGTATGTATATATAAAAGTTATCTTAATTTATACTGTAATATACCGCCCTACTTAGGGCGTAATTATTGCATGATTTGAGCTTATTTGAATTAACTTAGGAAAGGTAGCATGAAAATAAATAGTTTATTAACACAATTAATCCAAATTTGATGAAAGGTATGGTAAATGACAAGTCGAGGTAAATAAAATTAAAAGAGATCTCAAAATAACTATATCTGATGTTTAAATAGGGGAAAGGTATCAGATAGTCGGTTACGTAGACCAGTGATTGGACATTTCAAACTGTACATACAATTTCAAAAGACGTACAGAAAAAATTAATGTCAAAATTTGTTCAATGTATACTACAGCATAATTTAGAAAGGTTATATGACTAAATAAAACAAAAAAATTCAGTTTATTTACGTTTCATATGATCATTTCTATAAAAATGGCCACGGAAATGGGACTATTCGAAGTTCTTTTTTTCGCTTTTCATTTTTGGAGGCACTGCTTCAAAAATTGTTTCTAGAGTATATTTTGAGGTATAAAAATTCTGCGTCACTATTTTTTAACGAGTCAAAAGGAGTCTTTTGACATATATAACAAAATATATATTCGAAAAAAAATCTGTAACGTATATTGTTGTCTGTAAGTTTATAAATAAATATTTTTAAACGTGTTAGTAATGATTATGGAATCATTTTTCTAATAGTTCAGCAGAATCTCATATATAATTCCAATTTTATCTAACTACCCTGCTAAAACAAGGACATTCAACCGGTTTGAAAATCCAATCCGCTTTGAGTCTATTTCGGAATTCTACAAATTACAATTGAAATTTATTAAAGTAGAACGAATCTCAATACACTTTAATGAATTTACTTATCATTTGTAGTATTCAGAAATAGACTTAAAGCAGATTGGATTTCCAATCTGGTTGAATGTTCTATATTGTAGCAGGGTATATATATATGGATCAATCCCCGTCAAACAGATAATGGCTTTGTCTAAAATTGTAGATCACCAAAAAAATCGTGGATAGACTCAACATTTTCGCCTTATATTCTACTTTCTTCTGCAATGTGGTGACTTTAATGTGGCGGTTCAAACCTAGAGTTTTTATAAAAAATTTTCAAAAATCGATTGTAAATCATTCAATTGTGACTTTACGTAATGTATTATGCTAGAAATGCATTCAGCGTTCAATTTTACACATGAATATAGTATTGCACTAGAGGTAAAATATTCTACAATATCTGAAGGTCGAATCGGGAAACAATAGTTATTTCTTTAATTATTAATTGATCAATGTGGATTAGCGAGGAAATGAAGATACTCATAGGTATTTCGAGTCACTGAATCTAATTCTGATGATCGTTGAATCTTATCGCAGGTCTTGATCAAGGTCATGTGAAGATCAACTCGTAAATATTTTTTATTTTTTTATAAGTTTTGTACAAGTAAGTAAGTAAGTAAGTAAGTTTTGTATAAGTTTTTTACATATCTACAAGTTTTGTGTCGCTGAATCTGAATCCGGGGTCCGTTGGAGTGTTAAACGACGTAGTTACAGAAAAATTGATTTATATATAAATATACATGATCTGGAAAGGATTTTGAGATATTAAGGTCTCTGTCTAGCTCTCTGTACATATTTATATAACGTATCAAAAGATAGAAAATTGATCTTCTTAGTTTTGTCTCGAGTATTTACTATGATAGGAGAGAAAAAAGATTTCATTCGATAGTTAATTAATGTATTAAATATTGTTTTGATTTAATTTTAACTCATTTCATTATACGTCAAAGTCTTCAATAAAAATTTTAGGAAATATGCTTTCGGTCGTAAAATTGAGCTGTCGTTATAGTTTTATTGTATGCAACAATCTTTAGCTTATTTATTTAAAAAACACTTAAAAACTCGCTTGTACAAATAGAATTTGAATTAGGAAGTATTTGTATTTTTTAATATACTATATTTACTTGATTAATATTATATATTAAGGTATATACTATTTTTCATATGACAGTCGGCAAATTGGCTTCATTCATATTAGCAATCACGTTCAATATACATAATAGAATACATGATCTTCATGATAGAATACATGATTGAATGTATATTCAATATATATGTCCATTTCATTTATTTATCTAAAATTCAAAGTTGAGAACACTTGTAATTTCTCGGTTATACGATTGCTACATAGTGCGATTACCGTGTGTGTCTATTAGAGAATCACTCTTAGCCAATATTATATGAAAAGTAATACTATGGTACAAGCGCCAAGCTATCTCAGTTTGGAATCGACACATCAAATATTGATCGTCGCATGATTACTTTCTTAATTTGGTTTAATGGCTAATAAACACAGACGGTCGCTTCTGTTATGTTACACATAATGATCGGGTAAATTCTGACACGAAAATAATCGATTTTTTTTAAATGATGCGTAATCAGCTTAGATTTAATTTGTACCATCTAAAACTAATAATTTTACAATTCGTATCTCAAATAGAAATAAAAGACAAGAAAACAAGATCTCGGAAAATCTATATTCCTGATACAAAAATGTTGGATTTTCGAAAAAAAAATGCTATTAGATTTCTTTTAATTTATGTATCAACTAAAAATATGAAAATTATAATACCTATCCTTCTGTAAAATAGATAAAAGAAGTTTTTTAGAGTAACATTGATAGTGTTTTCTGCACATGTGGCGATGGAAAATTATGATTTTGGCTTAAAAATATTAGATTTGGACGAGAAAAATATATAGAGACTATCACTTCGATTTTATTTGTACCATCTAAAGATAACAATTTTACCATTTGTATTCCTTGGAAAATTGAGAAAAAGCCAAAACAACGCGTCCCTGCGAAAAATCTATACTTCTGATACAAAAATGTTAAAGTTTCCAAAAAGAAATAATGCTATTTTATTTAGTTAAACCAACTAAAAATATGAAAATCATAATTACTATATCCTCTTGTATAAGACATAAATCAAGTTTTTTAGAGTAGCGTTGATCACGTAGGTATCTTTATCTTTACTGGATGAAACAGTGGCTGGCGCCTTATTGTGATGATGGTCATACGCACTTGGACGTTGTGCAGTATATTATGCATCGATCGTCTTTGTCACAAAACAAAAAAAAAATTAACATTGAATAGTTACACCATTGACAATATTGACATTCTCTTTACGACAGGCAGATCTGCGCACAGTATACTGTACACTGTCCAAGTGCGCATGACCAATCACAATAAGGCCCCTGTCCAACTGAGAGGTGATATGTCGATGCACATGCGTGATTGCAATGATCGTACATTGACTGGATATTAATTTGCGAACCGTGAAGTTCAAAATTTCAATTATTTTCGACGATTCGACATAGATGACATTAAGTGAGGTTAATAGGTAAAAGTTTATTTTTGATGTCATCAATGCTCATTTGCCGAAAATAATTCGGATTTTGAATTTCGCGGTTCGCGAATTAACGTCCGATCAATGTTACATACATACATACATACAGTGATTACTTTACTTTACTTTACTAGATGGTGGTGGGTCTCTGACTGAGACGCCGATAAGCCAAGACGCATGCGTGAATATACAGTCATTGGAATTACGCATGCGCATTGGCATAACGGCTTTCAGTTGGACAGTCGCTATAGTCATCCAGTCAAATTAATGCTACTCTAAAAGATTTAATTATCCTTTTCTAAAGGAGGATACAAATTATAATTATTGTATTTTAGTTGGTACAAATTAAGAGAAATCTAGGTATTAGCATTTTTTCCTGAAAATGCATCATTGTTCTACCAGGAGTATAATTTTTTCAAGATCTCGTTCTTTTGACTTTTTTTTCAATTTTTCAAGTGATACAAATTACAAAACTGTTATTTTTAGATGGTACCACTTAAATTCAAGTGATAGCTTTGATTTGTTCATCAAATTCATTTTTGGGCTAGATGATTTTCCACCAGCCATGCGCAGAAGATACTATATCAATACTATACTCCAATAAACTTGATTTATCTTTTTTACAGGAGGATACAAAATAGAATTTTTATATTTTTAGTTGGTACAAATTAAAAGAAATCTATTTATATTGTCTTTTTTTCGAAAATTTAACATTTTTGTGCTAGAAGTATAGATGTTCTGAGATTTTGTTCTTTGAGCTTTTTTTTTATTTTCCGAAGGATATAAATTGTAAAATTGTTATTTTTATATGGCACAAATTAAACTGAAACTAATTACTTATCATTTTTCAGTTTTTATAAAAATCAATTATTTTCGTGTCAGGGTCTAACCGATAGAAAATTTCCGCATCTAGATAATCAGATGAAAAATAGATAATCATATGTTATCTAGGTTAGGTCAGGCTGGACTATTATTTGAACGGTGGCCTTAGCTCTGCTTCAGCTCTTCATATATGTAGTATTGTCTGCATGAGGACCGGCAAGTAAGCGTCAAGCGACGAGGCATCGAAACGCTTGGGGTTTGCGAGTGACGTGCAAATTTTTACTTCACAGAAAGTAATACAAAGTGCAATGACTCGCACTGAAAAGGTGAATCTATATACATTATTTGTATGTTTAGTGCTGGCCAATAATTAACAGAGCCAAGCAGTAAAAAATGAATAAACTCGTCATGTTCGTTGCTCTGGTAATATAGTTGTTCCCCCTCTCACGAAGGGGTGCGTGCGTAAGCAGTAGCGTAGTTGAGTGAAAACGAAGCGAATCGCATTTGGCATTTGGAAAGTGGACTACGTGACTATTAGAGCAAAGTTGGGAAGTCGAGAAAAGTCGAAGGAAAGAGAGTCAAGGTAGAGAGGAAAACCGACGCTTGTTTGTGCTGCCATAGGTATGTGCGACAGCGCTCAGTGTGCAGGCGGGCTGTGGATGTGATTGCGCTATTTACTTGTGCATTGCTGCACATGTGACAAGTCAGACCCTCAGCTAGAGTGTTCTACTGCAGTTATCAAGAAATTTAACTTTTGATTAAGACTGGGTAAACGAACAGATGAAGGTATTATACGAGTTAAATTGTATCTACTATTTTATCTCTTTTTTTTGTCTCTCTTTGTTACCTCCATCCCCCTGCTTATCTCAGATCCAAATTTATTTTTGAAACGTGGGTCTTTACATTCATTTTTGGTCACTCATATTTTGATTCAATTACTTTACTTCTTGTAATAAGCAAACACTTGTGTGTACCACTGTTTAAAACCTCAACCGATCCCAGTATTTCCAAAATACACAAATGTATTTTCATATTAGTCTGATATTCCATTTGTGTTATTTTGTAGGAATAATTTTTTCACTTCAAACTAAAAGTGCTATTTTTATTATCTTTTAATTTATACTAATGGCTGATAAAGCTGTACAAATTCTTTATACATGTGATTTATAATTATTTATGATTGTATACTGGTGTGATAAAAAAAATTAAATTCTACATTAATTTAAGAATATCTGAATAAGCAAAATAAGATAAAACATTAGTTCAATGGATGATAAAAAATGAGAATCTTTTTTCTAAGGAACATGTGAAATTAAAATAATCTGAACATTAAAAGATTTTCAATTCACAGATCATGACTGATGACGATGCTTTGGATTCAATGGATACTGAAGATACAGAAGGAGAAATATTTAATCCCCATATGTTGAAAGGCCCTAGGACATTAAGATCACATTCCACTTCCAATCAAGATTTAGACCAAAGCAGTTCAATTGTACGCCGTAGCACTCGAAACAAATCACAGACTTATGATAATCTTAATACTAGTTGGATATTTGGTAAGCAATTTGAAATTAAATACAAATAAAATAACAAATTTATATACTCATGTTTCATTTTTAGGAACTCAAACATTGAAAGGATACCCAATGTATAAGCAAGACGCTTCATCTTCTGATAAAGAAATGATAGATGAAGATACTTCACGACCTCGCAGGCTTAGACGTCAAATGCCAATGAGATCACGAGTGAATCATGTACAAAATAAAACATCTCCAAGACATCTAAGAAATCACAGCAATCATACTTCAAGTCGAGAGCTTAGAGACAGACAGCGTCTACGAGAACGATCAGACCGAGATCGTGAGTTACGGGAGCGACCTGAACGTGACCGGGAACGAGTTCTTCGTGAGCGTCCAGATCGAGGTCGACCCGACAGAGATCGTGAACTTAGAAGTAGACTCCGTGAAAGAAGTGACCGAGATCATGATCGATCAGATGATATTACTTTACGCGTATCACGAGACAGACGGGATCGCGAAAGATCTGACAAAGATTTGAAAGATAATAAAAATGAACTGAAAGATAAGCTCGATGATAAGTCAACTAATGAAGAGAAAGATCAACGGTGATTATATATTTGATTATACATTTAAAATTATATACTTAAAATGTTATTGACCTGTAAAGTTTTCTAAATTATGCACATGGTTTTTGGTTGACAGGCAAAATAAATCCGAGAGCCCTTTCCGAACAAGAGAAGGACCTGTTACAAGATTGAGTAATAGCCATGCAGAGAAAGACGAGAAACCAAAACAGGAACCAAATGAAGAAAACGATGCTGATGAAGAAGATGATAATTCTCAGGAAAGTGAAAAAGCAGAAAATAATTCGGAAAATGATGTTAGTAAACTGTTAAATGCATGTTATTTGATTAGACATGTTATTTTATCTAATCTTTTTGTTATAGGGCTACCAAGATATGTATTCAAGAGTAAAAAGAACTAGGAGAACATCACAAAGAATTCAAAATCGGCAACTCGCAGGTATGATTGTTTGGAATATTTTTTGTTTTAATATCATGTTAAAAGTGCGGAGATGAAAAGAAATTCTAAAAACAAATCATTGGAAAATAATCAGATACTTATTATTTAGTTATCATCTCTTTGTATTATACACATTTTCAACACGCCATGCGCAAAGTGCGACTTTCTCGTACGCTCAGCCAAAAAAATGCGTTCAAAATCGAACTTTCCACCTCGTGTAAAAAATACTATATAAATTTGGGCAAGAGGTTTTCGTATCGTCTGACTTTCCCCCCTTGTTTCGCTCGGGCATACGTCTCACACGAGACAAGAATCTGCTTTGTCATATTAATTACAAAATGTATTATTTCAACACGCCATACGGAAAGTACGATTTTGCTGCACGTTTGATGCACGTTTTTCGCCACGCATGCAGCAAATTCGTACTTTTCGCATGGTGTGTTGAAATTTACTTTTAAAACACGACTGATACTATATCATATTATTTTAAATTTCGTGTATGTGCGTGCGCGCGTGTGTGTAATTAATTTACTTATTTCTGAATAATTCATTAGATAGTGAGATGAGTGAGTCTTCTGACACACCTGGTCCACGTAAATATAGTTTGCGCCAGAAAAAGCCTACAGTAGATAGATTTCAAGCAAATATGGAACCTGTACGAAGATCAATTAGAGTGTACAGAAGTGTTTATAGCAATTCCATAAGAAGACGTAAGCACAGAAGCAAAAGCTCTAGTAGTACTGATTCAAGTGATTCAGAGCCACAACGTTACGATAAGAAGAAAAATAAGAAGTCCAGGTATAGTTTGCTAAGTTTTTTGACAAAATTATTCAATATAAAATAATAAAATGTCTGTAAATGTTAAATATATTTTTTAATTTCAGGCAAACATCTATACCTCAAGGAGGGCCTTCCGATAAAAAAGCAGATATTAGTCCAATTACAGTAGACACAAATATTACATTCAACGATGTTGGTGGATTAGAGTCTCATATACATTGTCTTAAAGAAATGGTTGTGTTTCCAATGATGTATCCAGATGTTTTTGATCGATTTCACGTAACACCACCAAAAGGTGTATTATTTCATGGTCCACCAGGTGCTAATTAATTTATTGATTTAATAGATAATGAATTTCACGTAATTGATTCCGAAATATAATTTTACTCACATACTTACTAATAAATCGTTAGGAACTGGAAAAACCTTGATAGCGAGGGCCTTAGCTAACGAATGTAGTAAGGGCAGTCGAAAAGTATCATTTTTCATGCGCAAAGGAGCAGATTGTTTAACAAAGTGGGTCGGAGAATCTGAACGCCAATTAAGATTATTATTCGAGCAAGCGCAGCAAATGAAACCTTCCATTATATTTTTTGATGAAATTGATGGTTTAGCACCAGTAAGAAGTACTAAACAAGATCAAATTCATGCAAGTATCGTTTCTACTCTCTTAGCACTAATGGATGGTCTCAGTGATAGAGGAGAAGTAAGTAGTTAGATTTAAGAATTACTTATAATTGATGTTATCAATACAAATATTTTCATGGTAATAGGTCATCGTCATTGGAGCAACAAATCGAATAGATGCCATAGATCCAGCATTACGAAGACCTGGTCGATTTGATAGAGAATTATTTTTTCCGCTTCCAGCAACGAAAGAAAGATTAGAAATCTTAAAAATTCACATAAAAAAGTGGAAAAATCCGCCGCCAGATCATTTGCTACAAGCATTAGCTGATCAAGCCACTGGATATTGCGGGTCAGATTTGAAAGCTCTTTGCACTGAAGCTGTCATACAAGGATTAAAGCGAACATATCCTCAAATTTATTTGACTAATAATCGATTGTTACTGAATCCAGAACGAGTCGAGGTGAAAAAAACTGATTTTATTAAAGCCAGCTCACTTCTTGTTCCTGCATCACATCGTGTAGCTCCATGCGTTGGAAAAAGATTAGTACCTTTTATCGAACCTCTTTTGGATGTATCACTACAGGAACTTTTGGTTACAGTCAAGAAGATATTTCCACACGGTATCGATCAAACGCTTGCAAAGTACGTTGACTGTGATGTGTTTAATTATTCTTATATTAAAATATTACAGTTCATTTATAAATTACACAATGTTTACTGATTCAGGCTAAAAATAACAAAAGGTACTCACCGTCCCCGAATTTTAATTACTAGTGGTAATATGGCCAAGAATCAAGCTCCACAATTAGCAAAAGCTGTCATCTATCATATGGAACATCTTCCTGTACATAGTTTAAACGTTAGTACTCTATTCGCCGAAAGTGCAAGATCTCCAGAAGAAACTTGTGTTCAGGTAAGCAAGTTTTAGTGAAGTTAACTTATGAATAATTTAATCGAATTATCATAACCGTAAAGATTCTTAACACTAAAAAATATATGAATATAAAATTATAAATACAGCGCAATACTTCAAAATTGGTTTTTTTCTTTAAAATTAAACAACTTTTTAAACGTTTTATAGGTATTTAATGAGGCATCTAGAAATGTACCGTCCATTATTTATATATCATCAATTGATCAATGGTGGCCTTTAGTACCGGAAACAGTTAAAGCTGTTTTTCTTTGTCGTGTTGCTGCACTCGATCCATCTTTGCCGATTTTAATACTCTCTACTACTGAAGCCACTTACGAAGAATTACCTGATCAACTAAAAAATTTATTTAGTACACTTAGAGGAGAAGTTTTCTCAATAAATCGCACAACGGAAGAACAGAGATCCAAATTTTTCAAGCCTATTTTTACTTCACAAAGTCTCCAATCTCCTTACGTCAAGAAAAAAACTGTTGAAGAACTTGAAGAATTGCCACTTGCTCCAGACCCTGAGCCAAAGAAGCTGACTGAAGAAGAAAGAAGAGCCTTACTTGAGAAAGAAGAAATATCATTGAGAGAATTAAGAATCTTCTTAAGAGAAATTTGTGCTAAACTGGCAAGAAACAGGCAGTAAGTTGAGTTGTTGGTTTTTATGAGAACAACAATTTTTCAAATAGTAATTTCGTGTTCTTGTTTTTAGATTTTTTATGTTTACCAAGCCAGTAGATACAGAAGAAGTTCCAGACTACAATGATATTATTGAACAACCCATGGATCTTGAAACAATGATGACAAAAATCGACATGCATTGTTACTTATGTGCTCGAGATTTCCTAGATGACATTGATCTTATATGCCGCAATGCTTTGGAATATAATCCAGATAGGTAAGAGTATCGGATTAGTATTCCTTGAATATTATTCCATTGCAGATGTAAATATTTGTAAAACAATATCATAAGCAATATTTTATCTCTACACAGCACTCTTTCTGGGAGTAAAAACTTCTACTAAACCCTTTTTTCTAACCAACAAATCATTAAAAAATATGCAATTCTATTTATTTTATTAAATCAAATTTTTTTAAAATAAATTATCTTTTTATTTTTGCTTATTTTTTATTTTATTTTTTTGTTTTTTTATTGGATTTTCATATTTATTAAAATGATGAACTTAAGCACAATTTACCACCATTATTGCATCTACATATAAAACGTAAAAACACTTTAGTTCACTATATGATATATTGGTACTGATGTTCATGTTGTATTTCCATGTCAGCTTGCGTGATAGGCCCTCCCTTGGAATAATGAAGAGGTAGTTGAGTCTTTCCAGTTTAACCATTGTCGTTGTCATAATTATTGTTCTATTTTGCTGTTGGTGTTTGTCGCTGTTCTGTAGATATTTAGTGGTTTTCAATTGAATTATACTCAGAAACGTCAGTATTGGTACTTAAAAAAATCATTACTTGACTAAACGAGCATAACATAACTTTTTGAAAAACTTAGTTTGTTTTACAAAACCTAGCTTGATTTGTTATTTATGATATCTAATGTATTTAAAGACGCTTATTGAAAACCACTGTTTTTTAGTAAAATTTGCTAATTAATGGCATTTTATAGGATACTTAAAGTAATGAGTTGATGAAATTATTATTTTACAGAGATCCTGCCGACAAATTAATTAGACATAGAGCGTGTTCCTTACGTGATAATGCATACGCTCTGATAAAAGCTGAACTGGATTCAGACTTTGAAGACAAATGTAGAGAAATATCGGAGAATCGTACGAATAAAGATAAGCAAAGTAATAATGTAAATAAAAAAGAGAATGGTAAGGCTGATTCTATTCAAAATACTGAGAAGAGCGACAAGAGAGACACTCCTGTGAACAATGCCATCGTGGTGAATGGTAAACGATTATCAAGTTCAAGAAAACGCAAAATACCTGCTTGGGCACGCGGTTATGTCAAGAAACCCCATAAGAAAAAGAAAATTTCATTTGATGACAGCGTTCATAACGATAGTAACAAGGAAAAACCAACTTCGGCTGATGCTTCTGGGCAAAGTGTCGATTTAGATAAATTTCAAGAATTTGAAACAGAGGTTCAGTGTGTTCTCAATGGCCATATACCTCTGTTTGACAATACTGATACAGAAAATGATTCACAAAATGAATCAACAAAGGAAAATCGCCTAAATCAGTCTGATACAGCTATTGAGAGAAAAGCAGCTGAAAAAAAGAATTCCAATGATGGCGAGAGCATGGATGTAACATTCACAGACGATAAACAAGAAGATAGTTCTCGATCTTCATTGAAACCTGAAGATCAGCAAATTGATAAACTTTCATTTACCTTCGATAGCGATTCTAGTCTGTCAAATAATCCCGAAGAATGCAACAAAATACTGGTTGACAGAGAAGAATTGGAAAATGCACTGCTGTATACAGTTCAAGCTACTGAAAATTTCCCAATCGAATTATTATGCGATATTTATGTACAATTAAGTCGACGCGTGGGCCAATATTCTCGCACCTACGATAGGAAAACACTGCCAAAGGTAAATAAATTAAAAATCAATATTTTTGCACGCTTATTTATATTTTAACAGTACACAGTAACAAATTAGAATTCTAATCTATAATAATTGCATACAATCATTGATGACTGACGACCATTTTGATTTTTTTAGGATTTACTACAAGACGTAAAACAATTTGAGAAACACAACACTGTGGAAAACGATAGACTTGTCCGCAACCAACGAAACAGATATTCATAAGATCGATAGATTATTTTAGCTTTCAATATAAGAATATAAGAAAGTTCAATAAACTTATTTTAACATACTTAATCGATACGCGAGTCACAATCGCTAATTAAATTTTTTTAAAGTTGTTACGACTGCCAAATTTTCTGTGAAAATGAAGAGTCGTTTAAAGCACGATCAAGTGAGGTTTGTTATATTTCATAGAGACGTGATGCATATATACTTAAGAAGTAGGTAGAGGGTTTGTGTCTGTCAACAATCTGATAAAATCAATTCAAGACAAGTTTTGTATGGATTTGTAGTTTATACGCTATAAAGCTTTTTATTTTCTTTTACATTTACAATTTTTCTAGCCATAACATTCAAACATGCTCGTTTTACTTGGCACAAATAATCATAACATGACTTGCATTAATATTCTATGAAACTAATTTTATTTATTCTAGAGTCATCAATAATTATCAAAAAAGAAGGATTTCATATTGTTATACAGTAGGCAATCACATAATGTTATGCCGCAAATCGTTCGTTATAATTTACCTTTAAATATAGTACAAAACGTGAAATGCAAAAAAGAAAATTAAATCATTTTTCTAAAAAGAAGCTTTTAACCGTAACAGTAATTACATGCAGAAAATGAACACGTTAATAATTTGAGCAATCGAGATAGAAATTGAAAAGTGTTGAGTATTATATTGAATGTATTAAATTCAAAAGTAAAACAATTAATGTTGTGAATAAAAAACTTCTCTGACCGTTGATAGACAAAGTGCTTCCACCAATGAATACTACCGATTCGGTAATTGTAAACCATACACGTTTGAATCATTGTTGAACTTTTTATGGTAAATGTGATCTGATCATGTTTAGCTTGCCATCTAATTTTGTTAAATGTCTCTTAAGGCTTCTTCAGATAAAACAATAAATATATAAATAATAGATAATCTTTGCTCTAATTTTGATGGACCAACGTCGAAAAAACGGTATAAATCAATAAATTAGAATGATAAAAATATAATGATAAATTAATTTCAGCTCATTTTGTCTCTAACAATTTCTTAGAAATCGTTATAAAATTTACGGTTGAAAGAAAATAAAATCTCAGAATCAACAAGATTAAATAAACAATGATAGCTCAATAACGCTAAAAGTTGATGTTGAAAAATTGTTTTTGATGAAACTAATGCAAGAGATGAGCCGGAATTTATTTACAGTACTTTTGTGTCACCGTACATCGTTTTATATCATTTCATTGGCCTTGTGATGTATATTCGTGGCAGGATTAACTTTTATTAATATAGCTGGTATAAATATATATGGAAGAGCCTTAAAAGACGTCATTAGAAATCTACTTGATGTAGAATTTCTAGAGAGATAGATAATACGTGATTTGTGACGTTCGATAAATCGCTCGTTTGTTTCATATATTTTTGATTTGATTTTTTACGTGATTTATATTTAATTTATTAAGTGATAGTTTTGTGTATTTGTACAAATAATGAAACAAAATAAAAATATTTCCAAGGCTAGAACAGAAATAAAGTAGAAGCATACTATCGCAAAAGATGCATATACATTGCCTTATTTATTTTAACGTGAATGTAAGTTGGTACAATTTACAATTAAAATACACCATCGCTAATAAATTGAAATTTCGTAAATATTGTGCCTATTTTTTTATTGACATCCTTATAAAATTTTCCACGCGTGGTATTTCATCTCTATCTATTGTAAAGGTCTATCTTATTACCTATACGCTAACTGCATTTCGTTAATGCGAAGTATTTCATTGTTTGTCTGATCTACTTTGATAAAGTTAAATTATGTAAGTTTATGGCTTGGGAATTTTACGACTATATTTGCCGTAAAAACGTTTGGTGGAAATTAATTTAGAAATATAGTTATATAAATAATTATATACAGGGTGTCCGAAAGTTCGGAAACACCTAAAAATTTTCCAGACAAAGTGATTTTTCAAAATGATCAAGGTCATTCTCGAATTTTTACAAGGAATTGATTGGTGACCTTGAATGTGACCTTAAGTGTGACCTTCAAGATTATTTAAAGGTCAGTTTTGTTTTTTTAATAGGAACCCCTATTTCTGACCCTGGATTCGGAAAGAGCGGGAAATTCTACATTCAGATAAGGTAAAATAGTTTGAGTCTGAGTGATTCCTACGGTACCCTTCAACTAACTTTGAGCATGACCTCCAAGGTCAAAGGTAAAGTCATAAGAATATGGCTTCGACGAAATTAAGCATTTTTTGTCTAAAATATTTTTATGCTAAACATTACCATTACCTGATCATTCGGATAAAAAAATTAAGAAAAAAATGAGGTTGGTCCCAACGTGACCTTGGGGGTATTGAATTAGTATCAGATCCTAACTATTTCACCTTATCTTTAAAAAAAACAACGCTAACCTTCAAATAACTTTGAAGGTCACGCTCAAGGTCACATTCAAGGTCATCAATGGATTTTTCGTAAAAAGTTACTTCAAGAATGATCTTGATCATTTTGAAAATGTACTTTTTCGACACTCCGTGCGCAAAGTGCGCCTTTCCCGCACGCTCGGCAGAAAACGTGCGTTGAAAATTACACTTTCCACACGTCGTATCAAAAAATACGGTACGGCACATTTTCGGGAAAGAGTTTCTCATATTTTAACAAAAATTATAGTAAGTTTCAAATGTACGCAACAAGACTCAGAGCTCGTCTTATTTGTTACGGTAACTTTTAATATTAATATCGCCAAACTTGAATTACTTGACATAAAAATATGAGTTAGGTTTAACATGTGCGCAGATGTACAAATAAGTTTCGCTGAACATTACAGTCATGGAACGCAAAAAAATTAAATCTATACTTAGAGATTGCTGTACAAAGTTACGTTGGCCAAGATAATTGCGAGCGACCTTCGAGAACAGCTGTGCTTCTCAAACTCTGTAGAAAACGTTCGTAAGGATTAGGTAGTAAATGAGAAGAAGATAAAATCTTTCATCAACAGTGCAATGTAAGCTTGTCTGCTCTTAACAAGGATTAAACGCTGACTATTATACGCAATTATTACTGCAAATAATTTTTTTTTTATTTTGTTTTTATTTTGTTTAATGTCACTCTATTTATGCTCCATCAGAGCTAATCAGCGAAGGAGGCTTTCAATGTGTTTGAGAACAAAGCACATAAACTTTTTTTCAGTGGTGCTTGTATCAATCAGCAGGGACTGGGAATCGAACCCAGGCCTACGGGGTGCGAGTACGTCGCCATACTGACCGAGCTATTGTAGGCCTCTACTGCAAATAATTTTTCTATTTTAAGTAGATTCATATAACTTGGTTTTTCTCAGTCTAGTAAGGGTTGTTTTTAATTGATTGATTTAATTGATTGATTGATTGATTGATTGATTGATTGATTTTCATTTGCTTTTGATTGATGCATGAAAGTTCTACACGTTGTACACGTTTTTACAAGGTTTTTTTTAAAGAAATTAAATTGTTATTTAGCAAAACGATTTTGATCAAGTAAAATAAAGTTCTTATAGGAATTAATTACTAAAACCCATGTCCAAGTCATTACATAGAACGGATTTTTCTGAAGGGATTATGACTCAACACTAATAGCATGTTTATAGCACCAACTTTTGCAAATATTTTTATCGAAAAAACGTAACATTAACTTGAAAAGATAACAATATATGGTTCGTAAGAGAAACTTAAAAATATAAAGTTGTATTTTCCTCCTCACGTTTTGAGTATAAACTAAAGTTCAACAATTTTCCTAATTTAATAAACCTTTAAAAACAAATCATAAGTGTAGAATAACGCGTGCAAAGATACGAAAATAATGTTTTTGAAAAACGGCACACTCGGTATTCCAAAAATTACGATGTTATACAAATGTTAACTTTATGGGGCCTAAAATTCTACTCCTCTCAAGTATTTTATGATTGAAAAAACAGTTATGACTTCACACGTACACACACTCACACGTTTGTATTAGAATAGTTATTACACTGTAATTATAAAAACTCTAAAAATTCACTGATATTCCCCATATCGTTCCCTTAAGTATAAACGAAACTACCTATTTATTCTAATAGAAATAAATTCATAGATTCAAACAATATTGCGCTAAACTATTGTCGGAGAAAATGCACTCTCTCTTGAGAGTCATAAAAAACACATCATTCAAAAATACACTCTAGAAAGTTTTCTGAGGAGTTTTTAAACAAATAAAAATTAAGAGTCATGCAAATTCCGATCATAATAGACACATGATGAAGGATATGAAAAACATCAGAGGATGACGAATAGCCTGTAGCTCATCTCAACTTGCAAAATAATTTCAGATAGTTCATCAATTATGTATTAAAAGTCTCTGGAAAGAAATACCATTGGAAAACCAACTGTCTTGCAATAAAAAAGACGCGTATGCGAAAATGAGTGTTATAGTAAAAGAAATGATAATATTATTATTATGTCGTAACTTTTATTGGAGTATCAACGACGTTACGATCAATCATACTTTACATTCATTGTGCTTTATAAAGCGAAAAATATATTCCTTGCGTAGTTATAGTGTCGCAAAAGCCGACATAGAATTTTATAAAATTATTAGATTTTAACGTAGAATCACAAACCACTGTTTGAATATTTGATAACGTTCACAATGATTCAGTTTGCATCGTGTATTTTCTTAACTGGTACTAGACTATTAATCATCTACCTTTATTATACAAGAAATTTTAATTTGTTAAATTAATTTGATTTCAGTTCAAGTATTCGCTTTTGTTGAAGCTATTCCACTAATGGGTGACCGTGTTGTCGTAGCGGAGCCTAATGAATTCCCTTTCGTTGTATCATTTAGAGAGAAATCTATGTCTGGCCTTTTTCAACACTTTTGTACCGGATCACTTATTACGCGGAAACACGTCATATCAGCTGCAGAATGTTTTGAAGGCAAAATATTATCTGAAATCAGGGTTGTCGTTGCCGGAAAAAATTGGGCAAGCCAAGGTTATCTTTATGATATTTATTCATGGTTGACGTATAACTCCTGGGCTCAAAATAATGGAATACCTCTAACGTATCTAGTGAACGATGTGATAATCGTCAAGGTAAAAAATTTCAACATGCCTTGTGGAAAGTACGAGTTTGTCGCAAGCTCGGCGAACAGCGTGCGCTCCAATTGGCTCTTTCCACACGGTGTTTTGATACGATACCTATATACCATATAACATCTGCGGAGAAGTAGATTCTCGACTCGTCTGGCTTTCCATCATCACTTTGATCGAGCGTAAAACTAACGGGAGACGAGAATCTATTTGCCCGAACTAGTCAAGTAATGTAGTATGACAACTAAGATATAGTGGAATATAAACATTGAAGAATATGCTTTCTAGTTATTATCGACAATCAGTGAAAAAACTACGATGCCTGTCTCCCTCTCGCATTTGGTTGACCAACAGCTATATCGAACGAAGGCATTGATAGTTGGCTGGAATGTCACAAGTACTTTACCAGCCTCGTCTATCTTACTCAAGGGCGAAGTAACAGTTTTAAGTCCTGAGCAGAGGAATCATCAATTTAAATTGGTGACGAATGAAAAAGTTACAATCAACAACAATTATCTGGCTACGTTCGCCGAGTCATATATACTCATAAACAGTGTACGTAGGAACAAATTTTATTTTACACCTAGTAAATGATGATTTTCACTAAAAACATCTGCACTCTAGGGTGATGTCGGTGGACCGCTTTTGGATAAAAAAAATCACCTTATTGGAATCACAGTTGGTATATGTCCGAATAGAGCATGGGGTAATTTCTCTGACGAGTTTTTAAATAATTATAAATTTAATGTTCATTCAAGTTTCAATTACTATAGAGAGTTCATTCGTAATGTAACATGGAGTACCCCTTAACAATCATGTACTATTTGAATTTTTCTTATCAATGCCTTAAAACTTTAATTCAAATAATATATTGCAAACAAACTGGATAAATATATAAATAGGTGACTACTAGGAGGTGGATTTTATTGCAACTTTTATACTTCACTTTTTTTCTGGTTCATAATGACTTTCCTTAGACGTTTTTATAATTATTCCTTTCGTTTAACATTTTTGCTCGACAGATACATATACCAATTATAGAAAATTATTTTTTAAGTGATATATGTATGAACTTTGTTGTTACCACTATAATTAGTGTTATGCTATAACTTGGAATATCTATAATACAACTCTTCCTACTCAACATTTAACATTTATTCAGCGACCTTTCTTTATTGCTTTATTAACCCTTGGCCTGTATACTTGATTGTAGTAGCTCATATTTGTGCTTAGGAAAACGTCTCTTGAGTTTGTGCAGGTATCCTTTATGCCAAACTTTATTAAACGTCTAGACAACATAAAGGCATAAGACAGTGAAATACTGTTTATCTTCAATAGATTTTTTCGCAAAAATTAATATTTTATTTACTTCTTCAATTTTGAAATGACTGAACTTTAAACTGGATTGTCGGTCTAAGATACATTTTCTATTCAATATTATTGGATTGATTCTAGCTAGGATTAGCTTCTCATAAATATTTAAAAGTACTGGTAAAATACTAATGAAGTCACCGGATCGGTTTCTTTACCAGAGTGAAG